CTTTGGAATTTGTCTCAGAAATCACTTCTACATGGACACCTCTGATCTTCTACCTCCCCCTGGGTAGGTGGGATGACATTCTCCTGGCACTTGGAGTTTTTTTCCTTGGAGAGAGTATTTATCTTGAGTGCAGGCACTGTGTCTAGCTTATTCAGAGCTCTCTTCCAAGTGCCAAGAGCAGAGCAAAAGTAGGCACTCAATAAATATTATGTGTCAGTTAAGTTGAAAGTGTAGGGCTGGAGTGTAGCTCACTGGTAGTGCTTGCATAGCATGCATGAGGCTGTGGATTCGATTCCAGGACCAAACACACACACACACACACACACACACACACACACAGGAGCAGAAAAAAAAAATGGTTGAATATAAAGTCAACATTTATCAAGTTCCAGGTGCATCATTACTTCTTTACTTCTCACATTTAAGTATGTTTTATCCCCATTTTCAGATGAGAAAACAGAAGAGACAAGTAAGTAACTTTTAAACATCATTTCTTAACCATTATGACATTGGTAGGTTTAAATTCTTGGCCTATGTGATCAAAGACCATACCATGCACAGGGACTTTATGGTAAGTAATTCATAGGTGTAGAATGAAGACAGTAAATCATGTGTGAGTGTTATTGCAAAGTGGCCTTCACCACAGGCAGCAGTAACTCAAGATGACTTGAGTTTACCTCCCTGAGAGCTATATGTTACCAAGAACTCAGCCTAGGAGATTAGTTTAAACAGCAGTGAATTGGCATAGTAACCTACAATTTATACTAGCAATTAAGTGATGTAGCTACATTCCTACAGAGTTCTCCAGGTATTGGGGCTAGAGTGTAGCTCTTCATCATAATGTTCTTATAATTTCATTTTATAATCAGGTCTGATATCTCTGTCACAGTCCCTGATTAAAAGATTAATGTTCTCTTTTCTGTCAAAGTTAAACCTGTAGTTTGCTAATATGTAACAAAAATGATTTGCTATAATCTAAAACCTAAATTTCATAGTCTGCAGTTAGATGGAGCTATTTTTAAGTTATAAAACCATGGGGTTAAAATGTCATTTTGAGTCTCCCAACATATCTCCCTTTGCCCTTAGTCTTCCAATTGTAATGTTCACAATGTAGTAGGTGATACAATCTTAACTATAGCCCTTCCCCTTGCACTATACAATTTTAAATTAGTCAATCCCATAGATTGTAACCCCAAACTCCTCCTCTCAGGGCAAAGGGCAGTGCTGCATTAGGGATAAAAACCTGGGCTGGATTCCCACCCAGTGTGCTTGCTTGCCAGATTTTTTTTCTGGTAGCACACCCTCCTACAGAAGTAAAATTTGCCTTACCGAGTAACTTTTGAGTGTGTATCTACTTTCTTGTAGTATCCTGATATTTCTAACACAAATTGACCCATGATAGCAGGAGAAAGGCTGATTGTATGGCTAAGGAGAGGGGAAGGGGAGGTGCATGGGCACAGCCTCCTGCAGACTTTCTGCTGAGTCATGCCTGCCTGTGTAGGCACATTGGGCCCACCTGGCCTAGCCACCATGGGCAGGGGAGATACCCTTCCTCCACCAAATTGAGAAGATAGGTGGAGACATCTACAGCAGTTGCAAGGTGAGTCCTTGGGTGACTATAGGTCATTGAAAACTGCTGCTGCTAAAGTAAAGCTCCTTGGAACTGGAGCCATTACTGGTGCCTGGAGTGGCCATGGCTAAAGCTTTTAAGAAACACAGTGAGACAGCTGCATGGCTGTCCTGATGACAGCAGTATCCAATCAACTGTCTGATTGACAGCTTTTTCAGTTTCTACGAGAGCATTTGGGCTGAAGTTGCAGGTTCCGCTGCCTGCAGTGGGACCCCAGGAATAACATCAGCATCAGTTTGGAGTCCAGTTGGGATAGGAACCACGGAAGTGACAGCAGCTGGCACCCCAGCTCCTCCCTGCTGAGCACAGCCAGGGCAGCTGATGTTAGTTGGGCTGCTGTTCTGTAAGAGCTATCAGTGAAGCAGTTGGGAGTGTGGAAGTCCTGACTTTCCCTCCTGATTGCTCTGAAGAGGCGGAGCCTGGCACCTCAAGTTTCACATGGTGCAGCCCCATCCTCATCCCTGCCCTATACATACCCTGTTGTGTAGGCCCAGTGGGACTGCCTAGCTGTACTCCAGGGCAGTGGTGGCAACAAAGCAGCTGAGTATGGGAAGGGGCATTGCATTATTTGCCCATGCAGCTGGGCATGGCAACCCGGCTCTTAGGAGCCTTAGGCAGTCTAGGCTGTTGAAGAAAAAAAGTAGAACTAGAGTAACGTTTTGGAGGTCAGCCCTCTTATTCTATCTCAAGCTTATAATGGCATGTGTTATGTGCCTTCCCAGCATACACTGCAATCTCTTGTCCCAGTTGTATGCCCTGTTTTCATTAAGAGATATACATCTTTCATTTTCTGAGTTCACATGCTTATGGTGTGCTGAGCCCCAAGGAGGAAGCTCTGTGACCTGTACATGAGCCAGTCAGCACAGTCCATCCCTGCAATCTTGTAAGGATAGGCTCAGGAATGGATTCATGACACAGTATTGTCAGGCAGAGCCAATTTAGACTCATTTCAGGAATTGAGGTGGAATTTTTGTGAACGTGGACTTGCTCTTCCCACCTGGCCTTGGCTCTGGAAGGATGAAGGTGGGAACTCATCTTTGAACTGACTCCTAATGGTGTTTCCAGTTGGCTGAGGGTTCTTTGCTCAATTCAGATGGAAGTCATGCCCAGACAAAGTGCAGCTCCCTTAGAGTTAACAGCTCTGAACTCTTGGTGCCAGTGGTTCTCTCAGCCAGTCTTGCAGCTGGAGTTAGCAAGTCCCCTGTAGCTCTTAGTCATTCTCTGGGACTCTTCAGAAGCCCTCTGGCTGCCAGGTATTCTCAGACCAGCAGACCTTGGTGTTAACAACTGGTAATGGACCAGATCAGCCTGCTCTACTTGAGATAGAAATCACAAATGGGCAAAAGAATTAAGTGACCACACAGATTTTCTTAAAAAAGAAATGAATAGACAAAATAAAACCATCTGAAAGAGGCTGTGTTAGGAACACATGCTGCATCAAAATGGAGAGAAGTAAATGGGAAGGAGACTTGCCCAGACTGACGCAGTGAGGGTGAGGGGAGTGCTGCTCATATGCATGGGCCAAACATGTGTACAGTCTCTTGCCTGCTAACCACAGAGTTTTTGCATAGAGATGCCAGTCTGTGCCGAGTGTACTGTTGCCTCCTGTGCTGGCTGTCACAGGTGGGAAGGTGCTCTTCACAGACTGGAACACCTGAAGCAGCTTCAGGGTTGGTGGAGCCATCCAGAGAGGCTGCTAAATGGAGTCATGTGGAGGTGCTGTAGCCAGAGCAAAGGTCTCTCATGGCTATCATGATGGCTGCTGTGGTTGCCCATGGGATTTCAGAAGCAGTGGAGAGATGCCAGGATCTGACACCATCTCCCTTGACCATTTCAGGGTGGCTGGGACCAATGCTGACATTGCAATGGTATGAAACCAACTCCAAAACCTGTCCTGCCTTCTGCTTGTCCCACTGACCCTGTGTGGCTGCACCCCAGGGCAGTAATAGCTACAACCAATTGACTCAGATTGGGAGAGAGGCACAGTGAGTGTCTGTGGTCAGCGGAGCACCCACAGTTTTTACACCCACGTCTGCTAGCTGCAGGTGGCTTTGGCTATCCAGAAAAACAAAACAAAATAAAAAAAAACCCAAATAATCTATATGTAAAAAGTAGATACATGGTGAGAAGATTCTTTTAGGGAAGATCAAGCTTTTTTATTTTGTCTCAATAGACAAACAGAAAAAGAGTGTAGACTTGATCCTAAAGTCTATCTGGCTTCTGATAGCATTACTTGAGCCCTGAGCAACCTGTGCCTGGGGCATGCCGCCCCTGTGCTTTTCACTAATTTGAAGCACTGAAGTCCTTTTTAGCTTAAGCCTGTCTGGGTCATGAGTTCTGACACTTGGAATCAATGGGATCCTAATCAACACAGGGCTTGAAAGAATTGGATGTGTTTTGCCTTTGCCATTTCTTTCTTTCTTTTCCTTTTTTTTTAAACACAGTTTTAAATCCCTTCCTCAGACCTTTAGAGATTTTAAGTATTTGTTGCTGGTTTGGAGAAGGGAAGCCATTAGAAAATGAAAATCATTTCAGCAATGATTGTCACAGCAGACTTGGTGGTTTGGGGAAACAGAGCTTCTAAACTTGCCAAGTAATGTGGAATAATGTAAGAATTTTCATTTTTCATTTATTTCTCTTCTTTAATTTAAACCAAAATTCTAGTTGTAGAAGGACACAATACCTCTATTTATCTTTATGTGGTGTTGAGGATCAAACCAGGTGCCTCACACATGCTAGGAGAGTGCTCTACCACTGAGCCACAACCCCAGACCCCCTTAATATTTTTTAATCAAAAGTGAGGATGTTATTTGCCATGCTACTTAGACAAGAGGGATTTAATAAGAAAGTGACTAGTACTTGGGTATTATCTCCAAGTGGGACAACATATCACCAAGTACACCTGGGTCTTTTCATCTCTCTCAGTCAGTAGACCAACCTAACCAATAGTGAGGTAGGTACATAAAGAAAGCTCCTAGAGAGAGAGAGACTGCAGGGAAGGAGATTCAGGTTGCAGAGCTTTAGGTGAACATCCCACCTCACTTGCACAGGAATCCTTTTCCTGTTCAAGAGGCAGAACAGTGCATTTCACTAATGGGATCTTTCTCTGGACACGACCCTTTCAAAGCCCCACTCTGATCGTTGCAAGATTGCTATTCCTCAGATCCACTAGCCGTGTTTCCACTTACCCAGCTGTAGAAAGAAAATTCCAGAAGTTCAAGTACTTCGTTTGCGACAATGAAGACCTCTTAGAGACATGAAGAAAAATGAAACCAAGTTGGCAAGGAGATCATCTCTCTCTTATTATTATTTTTAAAAAGAATGTGAATTTATTAGTTGATTTGGTATTTAAAATAGTACTTTTGCAAAATCATTTCAAAAAACACAAATTTATTAAAATACATACAAACTGTTGCTGAACATCCTATGAAGTCCTCTGACTAACCAACCTAACACTTGTTTTCAAAGCACTTGTGACCATTTTCATGGCTCCTATAGGTGCAGAGAACAAAGAAATCATCTTGGATGGAGTAGATTTTGATCAGAATAATCAAAGAAATGCTTGCCTTCTTATTTATAGACTCACGGATTGATTGATTTTTAGGGGTCTTATGGAGTCTACTAATTCTGCAAGTTTTCCTATTTGCAGTTTCTTTCCTTGCCTGTAATCATCTATTCAGCAAAGTATGTGCTGGATTATAAGGATAATGATCCCCAGAACCCAAACTCCCTCATCTAGTTTTATGTTTATACTAATGTGTGAAGTGTAATCTTAAGAAATGAGGACTGGAATGCAGGAAAACAAACTTTGGTAGAACACTGGATAAAAGAAAGCTGGAAAAAGCTACTTGTGATTCAAACCAGTGATATTGAGAAGAACAAACAGGTTTGTCTTTCTTTTACAGAATGTCTGTGCCATTTGTACTTGGATTTTCAGTTAGCTCATATTTCTTTGTTCAGTTTGTGAATTGCTAATGTCTTTTCACTGCTCCCTGTTGGAAGTTGTGTTTTGAAGTAATTTAACTGCTTCTTAGCACCAAGCTCTGCCAAAAGGAGTGAAATGAAAATATGTGGATAACAATTTAAAGAAGACAACTGGAAAAAATTTCCAAATCCCTGAAGAAAGTAAGCTTTGGACATCATTGGCCTCAATTATGTAAGCCCCCCCACAGGCCCCCCCCCTCCCCTGTTTACTTTGAAGGGAGAGTTCCAAGTTTTTTGTTGTTGTTGTTGACTTTAATTCTTTGGGGAAACAATCAAAACTAGCTAAATAGGGTATAATAGAAACTTATAAGGATGAATTTGATTTTACATAACATTAAGTGTCCCTTTTCCCAATTAGTATTTTAAATGAAAAACTGAAGTCTTAAATTGTTCTAGTCATTCAGCTACTGCCACCCCATGCTATTTCACAGCATACCCATAGACATGAGGGCGCACCAACACCCAGGACAGCGGGGCCTGTATGTGCTGCAGCTTCAGCTTAGAGAAGCTGGCGCGCTCCAGGGCCTTCCAGCTCTCTCTGGTCAGGTTGCATCCATCAAACACAAGGTACCAAGCAGGCTCCACGACCTGTTGCCAGAAGTAATTCCAGGTTGAATGCTTGTCTGCCACATGTTCTATGAAAAAGAAAGCCCCTCCCTGGGAAAGGAAAAAAATAATAATTTAAAAACTTTTGGTTAAGGGAAAACAAATTTATAATATGATTGAAGTTTCAGATTTCATGGCCTTAGTAGCCATCTTCATAAAATGTTATGGCTAAATTAAAACTTAATAAGACACTAGTTTGGACAACAATTTCTGTCAATTGTTGCACAGAACTGCCAATCGAAAGCATGTAACATGTTTTCTGGCTGTAAAAGGAATGCCTGAAGGCCAAAACGTAAAACACGGACTGCATGTCACGTGCTGCTGCCCTTCATGTTTGCCATATTAACTCACTTAACAATGTTATTTGGTAAGTAGTAGTATCATTTCCATTTTTACCTCTGAGGAAAATGAGTCACAAAAACATAAGGGCTCTGGGGTTGTAGCTTAGTGGTAATGCACTTGCCTGGCACTGATTTCGATCCTCAGCACCACATAAAAAATAAATAAATAAAACAAAAGTTCTGTGTCCATCTTCAACTAACTAACTAAATAAATAAAAGTAGCTTGCCCAAAGTGACACAGCTTGTAATTTTGAGAATCAGACTTTGATCCCACACAGTCTGGCTTTAGAAGCTGGCAGTATTGCCTCAGCAACATGTTTATTCGAGGAAGTTTAGAAAATACAGAAAAGTGGTTGGGTGAGCATGTAATCCCTGCTGTTTGGGTGACCAGGATAGGAAGACTGCAAGTTCAAGGCTACCCTGAGCCAGTTAGAGAGAAAATGAAATAAAAATAATAACAAAATAAAAGGGGAATCAATAGAGCAGAGCAAGTGGATTGGGGAGTGGGGGTAGAGAATAAGGGGAGGTGCAGGGCAGTGAGATTGATCAATTATGTACATGTACAAATATGGCATAATAATCCCACTATTTTTTAAAACTTTAAAAATATTTTTTATTTACAGATGGACACAATGCCTTTATTCATTCATATATCCTTTGATACAGTAGGCTTTTTGGCTTTACATTCTGTGTTGATTGCTTTTTCTCATTTGATAGTGGTTCACAGCATTTTTTCTTCATATTAGCTTAGACTTCTCTTCTTTTTTAAATAGATGCTCAGTATTATTTTACACTGTGATAATTTGCTTAAACAGCTTCCTTTCAGTGTATACTTACTGTTATCATAAATACTACTATAATGGATATCCTTGCATATAGATAAGCTTTTGCAAATTTGTGGCTTAGGATAACTTCCTGTTGAATAACTGAGTATGTATACTTCAAGTTTTCATATTATTAAATGATCCTATTGAAGATTTTCCAGCAGCATGAAGTAGGGTCTAATTCCCCAAATCCAAAGCAACACATCAAACTGAGTAAAAAAGTCTTTGACTTATAACAGGTAAAAATGACATTTGAGGGGCTATGGCTCAGTGGTAGAGAACTTGCCTAATGTGTGAGGCACTGGGTTTGATCCTCAGCACCACATAAAAATGAATACATAAAATATTGCGTGCATCTACAAGTAAAAACATACTTTTTTAAAAAATGATATTTAAACTGGGCACAGTGGCACACGCTGTAATCCCCGCAGTTTGGGAGGCTGAGGCAGGAGGATCGAGAGTTCAAAGCCAGCCTCAGCAAAAGTGAGGCACTATGCAACTCAGTGAGTCCCCTGTCTCTAAATAAAATACAAAGTAGGGCTGGGGATGTGACTCAGTGATTGAGGGGCCCTGAGTTGAATCCCTGGTACTCTGCTCCCCCAAAATGATATCTCACTTTAGTAAGCTGTTTAAATTAATTTGAGCATTTTGATCCTGTAACTGGCTATTATAATTTATATTTCTGCTCATTGCTCATTTCTCTCTCCTTTCTACAACTAAATAAACATACTGATTTTATTGATTAGTAATATCTTTTAACATAATGGACATTAATCCTTTTTCTATCCTCTTGGCAAATACTTTTTTCCAGTTTGTGTTTATATTTGAAATTTGTATATAGGACCTTTTTCTCTGTAGCAGTTTTAGAATTATTTTTCATATTTAGATTTATAAATTCTTCCCTTTATAGTTTTTCAGATTTAAAGAATTCAAACATGTCTTCTCTAGTAGTTTACTCATTACATTAGAATCCACCTGAAGTTAATAGGGCTGCCCTTGGGGATTAGGATACTACCAACTCGTCCTTCTCTCCTCCCCATCACTCACCGGCCTCAGCACTCTGCACACCTCACGGAGCATCTGTTCCTGGTTCTCCACGGAGCACAGAACCAAGGTGCAGACCACCACATCCACAGAACTGTCAGCCACCTGGTGCATGTTCTCCCCAGCAGCCACCAAGAAGCGCTCGAACTGCAGGTGTCTGTTCTCTGCAATGCTCTTGAATAAGAACTTCTCAAAGTTGGGGTTGGGATCAACACAGGTCACTCTGCATCCAGGTGGATAGAACTTGAAGTTGGTCCCAGTGCCGCACCCTACCTCTAGCAGGGAGAGCTTCCCCGAAGGGCCCGCGAAGTCCTGCAGATTGCTGAAGAGCTCCTGCTTCTTGCCTGCCATCTGTTTATTGTACATCACACAGAACCTTACCAAGAAGTAGGGAAACCATTTTTTGCATATCCAGCCCCATAAGCCGAGAAAGTTAAGCAAGTACATGGGAAGCGACAGGATTCGGACGGCCAGCTGGAGGATAAAGACGGTGAACGCCATCTCTCAGGAGAAAGAGAAAGCAGTGCAACAGTTGGAGACTGGACTCCTTTAATTACAGGAGGCGGGTTCCTGGCCATGGTCCAGAGCCAATCAGCTGCAGAGGAGGAACTGGCTTTTCTGGAAAAATGCAGCTCAAGTCAAAGCAAGATCTAGAGGCCCTTTTTGCTGAATGTGCACAGAAGTTGACTCATAGCTGAGTTTTTCAGAAGTAGAATGAGAATGTTCCCATCTTTTCTGCAGAAGGAAAATTGATTACAATCCTGTGTTCCAAATATATTCCTGCTTCCCCTTCTCTGGGTTGGAGACTCCTGCTAGTGTGTTGCAAGTGTCCTTTCACCCCACCCTGGTGCTCCAGCGTCCTTTACAAAGAAAAGAAAACACAATCTGTTGGTGGAGCCTGGTATAAGCACAACAAAAGAATACTGCCATTCCCCCTCCCTCCTCCCCTCCACCCCCAAAACACTTTTTTTGTTTTGCTTAGGTTTTGATTTTGTGTTTTTCTGTTTCCCCCCCCCCCCCAGGGAACCCAACTAAGTGTTTTCCTTTTTTTTGGGGGGAGGGAGGGGTTTGTTTGTTTGTTTGATTTTGGGATACAGATCTCACTATTTTGCCAAGGCTATCCTCAAATTTACCTCCTCCTGCCTCTGCCTTCAGGTTAGCTGTCCTCAAACTGCCTCCTCCTTCAGGTTAGCTAGAACTATAGGTATGAACCAGCATGCCCCATCTTTAAGCCCTATTTTTGAAAAGGACTTGAGAAACCATGCTTGCCTGGTCAGTCAACAAGAAATCCCCATTTTATATTCTGGGTTGAGGCTCTAAGATGTTAATAAATTAACTCAGTAGTAGAATTATTGTTAAGTTATAGCTTTGGGCTGCCCAAATTTTGAAAGACAAGTGTCAAGTCTTCCAGTTGTGCTTGACTACTGCATTATTCTACTAATTTAGATAAAAATAGTCTTCTGAATGTTCATGTTTGGGAGCCTGTAGGATTTAGAAAATGATTGTAGGCAACAATATTAAGAAAGCCTGGGGCTGGGGCTGTAGCTCAGTGAGAAAGTGCTTGCCTCTTATGTGTGGGGCACTGGGTTCGATCTTCAGCACCACATAAAAATAAATAAAGATACTCTGTGTTCATCTACAACTAAATAAATATTTTTTTAAAAAGCCTGGACTTAGGGTGATTATGGAACATAGAAATTTAAAAAAATAATGATAACATTTACTTTTTAAAATTGGGTGATGGGACTGTTTGTTTGCATTGTTATACCCTATACATACTTTACAAATACTGTATCTATTCCATTTTTAAAATGTTTTTAGAGATGAAATTGATAACCAATAAACTACCTATTTACCTTGTTCATGTTGAATAGTTTGGACATAGTATATACCTTTGACATCGTCATTTCAATCTGCATGAAGAAATGTGGGCTGGGGAGGTAGCCCAGTGGTAGAGCTCTTGCCCAGCATGCAGAGGCCCTGGGTTCCATCCTCATAAGTGGGGCATTGAATGGTAGGGGAGAGGTGAAAGAACATCACCCCCAAGATTGCTCCAGTTCCTTTGTGATCCCTCCCTCCAGCCTTCCTCATTCCAAGGCAATCATGTACTGTTTTATATCACTAGCAATTAACTTACATTTTCTACAATCTTAAGTGAATCATATAATATGTGGCTTTTTGGTTTGTTTCACTTCTATCACTGAATATAATTATTTTGAGCATTATACCAGTTGTTGTGTATGTTCATAGATTTCCATAAAGCTATAAATGTAGCTGCCACTTTGTAAAACCTTGGAGCACATTTTCAAGATTGCTTGAGTCTCTTTTCCCAGATTACACTACATCTGACAGGGAGTGAAAATCCAGAATATATAAGGAGCTGCAGAAACTTGACAGCAAAGATATGACCAAGCAAAATACATGAGTAAATAAAAATGGGCAGTAGATCTATGTAGAATTTGCTCCAGAGAAGACATACAAATGCCCAACAGACATTAAAAAGTGCTCAACCTCAACAATCATCAGAATGCAAATCAAATCCATATAAATAAGTTATCACCTCATTTCAGTAAGAATGATTACTATCAAAAAGACTAAGGATAACAAGTGCTGGCAAGGATTTAGAGAAAAGATTACTCTTGCATGTTATTGGCAGAATGTAATTTCATACTGCCATGATGGGAAACGGTATGGAAGTTTCTTAAAAATAAAAAATAGAGGGGCTAGGGGGCTGGGGTTGTAGCTCAGTGGTAGAGCATTGGCCTAGCATGTATGAGGCACTGGGTTCAATCCTCAGTACCACATAAAAATAAATAAATAAAATAAAGGTACATATAAAAAAGAGGGGCTGGGGTTGTGCTCAGCGGTAGAGTGCTCACTAGCACGTGCAAGACACTGTGTTCGATCCTCAGCATCACATAAAAATAAATAAAATATTGTATCCTACTACAACTAAAAAAAATGAAAAATAGAGCTGGGCATGGTCGAGCATACCTGTAATTCCAGCAGCTGGGAAGCTGAGGCAGGAGGACTACAAGTTCAAACCAACCTCAGCAAAAGAGAGGCACTAAGCAACTCAGTGAGACCCTGTATCTTAAAAACAAAAACAAAAACAAAACATACAAAGTAGGGCTGGGGATGTGGCTCAGTTGTCAATTATCCCTGAGTTCAATCCCCGGTACCAAAAAGAAAAAAGGACAAAAAAAGTAAAAATAGACCTATCACCTCTCAATATGCAACCAAAGGAAGTAAAATCATATGTTGATGAGATAAATATATTTATTGCAACATTATTCACAATAGCCATGAAATGGGAACAACCTGAATATCCATCAACTAATAAATGGGAAAATAAAATGTTGTATATATATATATATATATATATATATATATATATATATATATATATACACAATTGGATACTATTCAGCCATAAAAAGAACGAAATCCTGCCATTTCTGACAATACAGGTTAGAAACAACTAGGTTAAATGAAGTAAGCTGTCACAGAAAGAAGAGCATTATGTGATCTCATGTATAGAATGTAAAAATGTTGATAGAAATTGGGAGTATAATGGTGGTTACCAGAGGCTGAAGAGAATTTGAGGGTAGTATAGAAGAGGGGAGGTGGATCAATGAGTACTGTTTCAGTTAGATAGGAAGAAGTTCCAGTGTGCTATTTATTGCGTCATAGTGTAACTAACTATAGATAGCAGTTGTTTACTATATATCTCAAAAGCTAGAATTAAGAATTTTTATATTTTCAGCATGAAGAAATGATAAATGTTTGAGGAGACAGATATTTTCAACCTGCCTGGGTACAGTGACACATGGATGTAATTCCAGCTCATTAGGAGGCTGAGGGAGGAGAATGGCAAGTTTGAGGCCAGCCATGTGTCACATGGTCTGCTATTAATCTATACAATATTGTGCTTTTATGTATCAGTTAAAATTTAAATCATTTTTAAAAGAAGTTAAATTAGTGGTCTAGATTCTTTCCTTCAAAAGTACAAGGTCTACATGGTTTTATGAGGAAATTTTAGGAAACTGTCATTTAACAGGTAATCACTTGCTTTTTTATTTATTTATTTATTTATTTAATTTTAAAAAATATTTAATTTATTTATTTATTTAGGCTTTGAATTTTTTTTATTGGTTGTTCAAAACATTACAAAGCTCTTGACATATCATATTTCATACATTTGATTCAAGTGGGTTTTGAACTCCCAATTTTACCCCAAATACAGATTGCAGAATCACATCGGTTACACATCCACATTTTTACATAATGCCCTATTAGTAACTGTTGTATTCTGCTACCTTTCCTATCCTCTACTATCTCCCCTCCCCTCCCCTCCCATCTTCTCTCTCTACCCCATCTACTGTAATTCATTTCTCTCCTTGTTTATTTTCCCATTCCCCTCACAACCTCTTATATGTAATTTTGTATAACAATGAGGGTCTCCCTCCATTACCATGCAATTTCCCTTTTCTCTCCCTTTCCCTCCCACCTCATGTATCTGTTTAATGTTAATCTTTTCTTCCTGCTCTTCCTCCCTGCTTTGTTCTTAGTTGCTCTCATTATATCAAAGAAGACATTTGGTATTTGTTTTTTAGGGATTGGCTAGCTTCACTAAGCATAATCTGCTCTAGTGCCATCCATTTCCCTGCAAATTCCATGATTTTGTCATTTTTTAGTGCTGTATAATACTCCATTGTGTATAAATGCCACATTTTTTTTTTATCCATTCATCTGTTGAAGGGCATCTGGGTTGGTTCCACAGTCTAGCAACTGTGAAATGTGCTGCTATGAACATTGATGTAGCAGTATCCCTGTAGTACGCTCTTTTAAGGTCTTCAGGGAATAGTCCGAGAAGGGCAATAGCTGGGTCAAATGGTGGTTTCACTTGCTTTTTTAAATAGTTCTAGAAGGTAGAAAAGTAGGAGATTAATTAGCCTCTCTTAGAAAGCTAGTATTACATTAATGTAATTCAGACAAAAACAATATTAAAAAATTGTATGCTAAATTCACATATGAATAAAGATGAAAAGATCATAAATAAATGGCATCAATGTAGAAGTATGGTTTAAATGTATTTTATCCTAAGAATGCCAAAATGCTTCTATATTCAAAAAATTTTCAGTGTACTACACCACATTTACAGATTCTATGAAGAAAGCACTTGCCCACTTCAATAGAAGAGGAAAACTGTGTGATAACAGTCAACACACTCATGATAAGTTCTTCATGCTGATGGTAACCTTGTACTTCTGTCTGCTCACTGAGCATTTAGCCCCATAGTTTATTACCTTCCAAACATTTCTCTTTCGGTAACTCAAACTCAACTTAGATTCAAACTGTCATAAGCCAAATTCATCTTCTTCATTTCTTGCAATAACAAGCAAGTTCCCACATAAATGCTTTGTCATTCCAGCCTTCTCCAGGCAACCCATACATGTGGTCATCCAGGCTTTAGCTCTCAGACTAAGGACATGGCTGTGGGATGGAGGGGCAGGGACTGGCTGAGAGGTATTT